GCTGTTCGGACTACGCCATATCATTTCACTATGTCTCGCCCAATCAAATGTATGTCCTGGACTATTTGATATACCATTTGCGACCATATGGCATAGTTTATAGGCCAGATGTATTGCCCAATAAGTTGACGGTGGGCGAACTGATGCCAGCGCCCAAAGAGCCAAGTGCTATCGAAGGAGCCAAACCGTCAGAGGAGTCGATGACCGAATCGGAGAAGGAAGCGCAATGATTCCAGCTCCCTGTTTTGCCATGTATATAGAACTTGTGTAAATATCGTTCGTTCGACTAAGATCTAACTCAGTTAAACATACTTTGCCATTTCCATATGTTGTCTATTGTATTAGCTTAATTCGCTTTATGAAAAATGCTCTTGAGTTGTACAAAACAAAAACAAAAGACAAAAAAAATAAAATAAAATAAAGAAAACAGCAACAAGCACTCAAGAGTTCTGTGAGTTTAGTTTGTAAAGAAGTCTGCGCAATTATGGTTTATAATAAATATTTATATTAGATTATTAGATTTATACATATATTATACATATATTATATAAACACTCGATTCGATTAAGTATTCGTAATGCATATGGCACATAATTACTTTCTAAGACAAAATATAATCTATTAAATGCATCTATATTGGCCCATATAGTTAGCAATAATTTAATAAATTTTATGACATAAATTAGTTGATAAGCTTAAATATATAAATTATATATAAATATTTGTATATTTATATGTATACAGACAATACGTCTGACAAAATGTATTACACGCTATAATTATTAAATATAAAATTTAATAAAAACTCGTATTACCTTTGCTTTATTCTTAGGCAATTTTCACATGATTTTTCAAGGTATGTTTAATACCTTAGAAGTAATTTTATCTGTGAAGTTTTCATAATTTCGTTGTATTCCAATCAAATGATGGTATTTTCTTTAAAAAGAAGAATATAAATGCAAAACTAAAATTTAAGGTCATTTGAAATTATAAATATTGTCTTGTGAAACATAAATTACATATATTCTTGATCAGGGTGACGACTGTATGATGGAACGCGTCGATCTCAGAAAATATGAGGGCTAGAAACTTGAATAATGATTAAAATATCAGTTGCTCGTAGGGTTCAGAAGATCTCGCAGTCGAGAAGTCTCGAAGAGCTTTCTTGTTTACTTTGAATTTGTTCTTAAAGTTAGTTGTCGAACACAAATCTATTCCAGCATCTAATCGCTCAACATATGATTCACTATAACATCGGCTCTCTTAGCCGTATTAATTAGTTTAATGCATATAAGATAAACGGCTGCGCAGCTCTTAGCAAGTAAAAACCATATGTCAACACAACAATCGCAATTGTTTTACTTTCGGTTCTGTTTTCTGTTGAAATGTAAATTTTACCTTTTCCATTTAGGTGCAGTATTAATATAGCTAAAATAAATTCAAAAGTAAATAAAAATACATCAATCATGTTGACCATACTGGATAATGCTTTAAGAACCTGCTGTATAATCCATAGTAGGATCAGTTAATAATCGCAAGCGAAAGCGATGCAAAGGTGTCCGACTTTACTTTTACCGATAAAATGTGTTTTTTTTAAGAATTTAAAAGATATTTATAAAGCAGAAGTTATTCAATTAATATAAAATATAATTCTTTTGTGTTTCAAGTGCTCCATAAAATGCACAAATTAATTAAATGATAACATTGGATAGCTTAAATTTTAATAAATGTGCTTTAAAATGTGTTAATTTATTAAATAAAAACTTTTATAATTAAATTAATTAAATTATTAAAATTAATAATATTAACATTAATACATAATTAATTGAATTGATTTTCATAATTGAAGCTATTAAAATTATTAAACTAATTAATAAAGTAGTGTAAAGTATTTTTTATAATTACAAATTTAAACTAATTTGTCAAAGACAAGTGCAGAAAATGAAATGCTCAACTTTACGAGATCTTTGAAGTGCTGCTGATAGATTAGCTTCGAATGAAGCAAACAAAGAGTCTCGAGAGGTCTCTGAAAACCACGAACTAAGACCCTTTACATATATACATAGCCCTAGCAATGACTGCCGATATCCTATTGGGACGATGCCTATTTAAAGAAAGTGTGTTCTATATATTATCCATATACATTTTTGCATTTTCTGTATCCCAAAATTGATGTCATCTTCTTCTTCTTGCAGAACGATGCCACAAACGCTCACTAGTCCCACTGATGGTTGGCCTGGTCGCTGGCTTCTGTCTCGTCGAGCTGCTGGTTTACTCATCCATTCCCAAGCATTGCGATGTCAAAGGCCTCCATCCCAATCAAGACAAGCAGAATTTGTCTAGTCCCAATCAGGATATCGACACGCCCGCACATCCAAATGAGAACACAAGCATTGCTGAAAAGTTGCATAGCGAAGTGCGTGTTCTTTGCTGGATTATGACAGGTCCCTCCAATCATAAGACAAAGGCGGTCCATGTAAAACGCACCTGGGGCAAGCGATGTAATAAGCTGATCTTCATGA